TTTTATTTTTTATTTTTATTTTTATTTTTATTAGAAAATATATTATTGATTTATTAAAATGGTTATTAAAATAAAAATATATTTAATGAAAAATATTTGTGTTTATGAAGTGAGAAATAGAATGGTGTGTTTATTTATTGTTATTTTATTATTTCTCCAAGATTCTTTTTTGTGGTAGTAAAATTTCTGATAAAAGAAGTGATAGAAGTTGTGATAATTCTTTGTGATGAAAGGGATTGGTTTGTATTTTGCAACTTTGTACTTTTATTATTTCTTAAAGGTTTTTTTTTGCGGTGGTGAAATTTTTGATAAAAGAAGTGACGGAAGTTGTGATGAGTGTTAAGATTGGTTTGTATTTTCAATTTTGTACTTTTATTTTATGACCTTCTCCTTTTTATTATGAAATTATTATAGTAAAAATAATTTACAATTGAAAAGATAAAAAGTAAATTGATAATGTCAAATTTTTTGAATTGAATATTCAAAGATTGATTTTTATTATTATAATTATTTATTTCCGAATTTTTGTTGCAATGATTTTAACTGAAATATATCTTCTTTTGAAGAATAAATTTCAATATTACAAGTATCATGAGTATTGACAACCATCTTTTGATTCTTTAATTTTTATTATTACAAAAAATTCGTTCAAGATGATTCTTAGACATTTTTATAATCTTTCAATTTTATTGTTATTTTATTTTTAAATAGTTAATTAATTATTAACTAATAATACTATGCACGATATACAATACATAATACAATAACATGAATTTATTAAACTTATTATACTGACTTGCATAAACTTTACAATGTTTTAATTTAGAAAATCTGATAAATTAAATAATAATAATACCATTCAGTATTATTATTATAAAATTTATTAGGAGAATCGTGCTGAAACTAGAGGAGGTCAGTATGAAACAACAGGTTGTAAATTAATAGTGAACTTTTCCTTAAAAAATTTTTATTTTTGTGAAGAGATAAACACATTATGATATGATTCGTTTAGGGGTGGTATGAAACGTGTTAGAGAATACAGGTGAAGCCAAATGAGACTCTAAAGTAATCATTGAACCACCATAGACATGAATATAATTAATTATTTTTTTAACGAAATCTCCTCTTTATTTTCTTCATTTCCACATAGTAAATGTATTCAGTTATTTATAAATTACGTATTTATAAAATTTTTTTTATCGTATCATAGATTCTCATTGAAGTCACGGTACGAGACGCTTGGTAAATACTGGATATACAGAAGTAAAAAGATTTTCAAAAAGAATTTAGTACGTGTCGACCACCGAATGCAAAACTTTAATTATTTGATAATTATTATTGGTATATAGGGAGTAATTATTATTTTTGTTAAAAATATTTATATTTAATTTGTTTAACATAAAAAAACATACGATATTTTTTTTTAAAAAAAAAAAAATTTATTTTTTTTCGATCTACCTAACGCACGAAGATAACCATAACTTTAATTATTATTTTTTTTATGTTTACAAATTAAATATAAATATTTTTTAACAAAAATAATTATTACTCATGAACTTTTAATCTTTTTATGTTGCATATTTCTAACAAACGTTCTGAAAAAAAAATAAATTTCTTATTTCTTTACCTTTTTCGATCTATCTAATTTTTAAACGAAGTTACTATTCTCATCAGTGGAAGTTAGACTAATAGACAATGGAATTAATTAGAACAATGGGATAATTACACAAGGTATAATGATTGCATTTTATTAGTATTATTATTTAAAATTGTGAGAAATTTAATTTTTCAATTCTACAGCAATTCAAAGATATTGAAACTTTAGAAGAATCTCCGATTTACTTATGATATACAGTATATGATTGAAAATTAAATTTAATGATTATAACAATGATGATGACGATATAGTGATGAGGTAATAAATAATTAAGTATATTATAAAATTTAGATCAATGATGATTAATTATATTTAATCATCAAAATACCTTATTTATTTCTACAGCATTTATTTCTACAATTATATATTTTCTTTAAAAAATCATGAAAAGATAGATGTAATTGACCCAATTTATTATTTTAGGGGTTTGTTTTTTAACGCACCTGCGTTTTGGCGCATGGGTTTTATTGGTGACAGATAAGGGGTGATAAATATGGTTTCACATTCTAAAAAATAATCTGTTCCCAGGATTTATGATAAAAATTGATATGCAGCACCGTGAGAGATAGGCACTAAATTACTATTGGGCAAATTTATGTAAATCACATATAAATCATTTTTTAATTTCGAGTTGGAAAAAATTGCCAATTCATGTGAGAAGTTAGATAAATGTTCATTTGCCAAAAAAATATCAATCAACTTGGCGAAAACCATTTTTGTAATATATAAAATATAAACAGTAGTGCCGTTCTTTCATGGATCACAACTTCATTATTTTCTTTTTTTAATAATGAAAATTTATAAAAAGAATAATATTTTTATTGAAATCTTATTTAATTTTTAGTGGTAATTTATATTATTTATGTATATAGTATTCACATTATTTAAGATTATTTATATTTTTATTATTTAATATTATTTGTATTATTAAATTAATTGGTATTTGTAGGTATTCAATGCTGTTGAAGCAAAAAATGTTGCTTTATCTCTTTTTGGATGGTCAAAATTTCACAAAACGAATCACATCACAATTATTCTTGGATTCGCATCCTTAAAAGATAACAAAGCAAATGACCACAACATGAAAGGTAAATATGCTTACTTAATACTATGCACTTAATTTAATAAATACTAAATCTATAAATCTATTGTCAAAAAAAGATGAATTCTTCAAAATTATTAGATACTAGGAGTTGTGAGAGTTCTTATCAGTTCTGATTAGTTCTTAATAGTTCTAGTCATTTCTGGATAGTCCCTCTAGTTCTAATTCGGAGTTCTGATAATTAATACAGATTAAAAGTATTAATTGTTAATTGTTAATATTTATCTTATTAAGAAACTGTGTCTATTGTTACGTCCTCATATCACTGACACATCTTTTGTAATTGACCCCAACATAATTCCTTTTACGTAATTTACCCTTTAGTTTTGTTAATTTAGGTAGCATCCGTGCGATCTCTATAGTTTAAGTATTTAGTTATAGTTACTGTTGTCCTTCTACATAGTAAAATGTTTAGAAAGGTAACAACATTAAAAATGAGTATCATGTGCTCGATGTAGCCATTTCATACATAATTCCGTGTAATTTTATCAAAATATTTACACTATGTAGGTGATGATGAATTAAATTTTTTATATGTAAGTAAGTTATAAAGACCAAATTCTATATAATATATGTAATATAAATATAGTATATCTATTTTTGTTTCCACCTTAAATTCAAGAAACTTTTTGTTTTAAATTTATGTAAACTATCCAAGTAATTGCATAACGTTAACGTAGTTTTGGCTAGAGGGATTTTTTGAAAATCTAAAAATCTGGTAATGTACGACAAATTTGTATATTCTTAATCTGAAATATAAAAATGAATAATAAATCTAAATAAAAGAAATATACCTCTTTAAGAAATTTAGATATATCATATCTAGATTCATTTATTTCTTTTAAAGAAAACTTTATTACCTATATAATCATATTCCCAAACCTGTTTATTGAAGTTCCAATACCATTTAATGCCATTTTTTAATATAGCATAATACACAAATCCATATCCACCATCTGATATCTCGAAAATTAAAAATTATCATAATTATCATAAGGTATCCATTGTAGAAGTCTATAGTCTATGTACAGTACATGATTTTTTGAGATTATAGGATAATCTTATCAATTTTAACATTCTCACTAGACCAAGTTCCGAACTCATTCTTTGATAAATAAACTACAAAACCCTCTGAAGATGAGATGCTAATGTAATTGGAATTACGATAAACGAGATCTTCAGAAGAATGATCAACTGAACAATACATAATTTCTTGAGACATGAAAATAAAAGAATTATATTTTATTGAAAGAGGAAAAAATAATAAATTCTTGATATTGAGACGTAGCATTGTAACATTGCTTAATGTTTATTATTCCTTTTCTAATTCTCATCGTGTCATTATTGATGTTTACTAAATTACAATGTGTAACTTCAACAATTTTAAGAGAAAGTATCTCATTTATATGATAAAGTATGTATATTAAACGTTTTGGCGTGGCGAACTTTGTCTGAATTAATTCAAGATATTATTCTACTAACATTACTATCATTTTTGATTTTCAAAAAAGGATCGTTCTCGTGTGTACACGAGCTGTTATTATAATTTATTCAAATAATTTATAACTTTTACAATATTCTTGATATTAATTTCTAATCTTTCTTTACACTTATCTAACTCATTCCTAAATTCTTGTATTCTTTTTTCACATTTTTCATTATCATTATTGTTATTATTATTGTTATTATTATTATTACTATTATTGTTATTATTGTTGTTGTTTGTAAATTCAAATTCTATTATCTGATCTCTTAATTCTTCTAAACTTTGTAATCCAAATTCTAATCTTTGTAAAATTTCTACTCCATTTTTTACTTCTAATTTATCAGATTTATTAAATAATCCTATTGAACTGAATTTTAATATATAATTTAATTCTATTAATAATTTTATTATTCCAATTCTTAATTTACTAATATTGCTATCATTATTGTTGCTACTACTATCATAAGTTTTCATTAATTTCATTTGTTCTTGTTTCATTAATGTTGAATGGATAATTACTCCATTTTTAAATTTCTTTTGTAATTGTCCAGGAGAATTTTGAATATCATCTAAATCAAATACTTTAAATCTAGTGAGACCAAAATTATCATCGACGTAATCATCATCGGAATCATTGTTGTCATAATTTGATACCTGATCACATGCAAAGTAAGTGGTATGAGATCGTTTAGTCCATTCAACCAAACAACCCCAACAAAATTGATAATTACAAATTCCGCATATCATATGCATACATCCTCCATTTTTTGAAATTAGAATTCGACATTTTGGACAAGGTTTAGTGTAAATTTCTAATAATGTTGATTTCGATTTTTTGTTGGAAATTTTTACAGTATGATTGGTAACAAGATAAGTTTCATGATCTAAACAACTTGCTGGCCAATGACCTCCAATAAATTCACATGATGAACACCAAGTTGTTTTACATCCGTAACAATGTAATAATGAAGAAGTAGAAGATGATAATGAAGCGGAAGGGGAAGAAGAAGGTAATGAAGTTAAAGAGGAAGAAGGAATTTTAAAAGAAATAGAATTATTACATCTTGGATTAATACACCAAGAAAATGTTTTAATTGTGTTAATTTTATTCTTGTGAATTTCGGGATTTTTATAAAGTTGAATGAACGAATCATGAAGACAAGAATAATATTTGTTAATTAATTGAATTGAAAGTAATCTACCAATAGTATTAGGATCTACCAAAGTTCGACATTTTAAACCTCCTGGACAATTCATCAAGAATATTTGATTTTCTGATATTTTTATAGAAAGATATTGAATTAGACAATCATCACATATAATGTGATTACAAGGGAGAAAAGTAGTAAGTTTCAAACATTTATCAAGACAAATTTTACATATTTTTTCATTATTTTCATTATTTTCTAAATTTAAATTATTTTCATTATTTTCATTATTTTCATAATTTTCATTATTTTCAATATTTTCAATATTTTCAATATTTTCTTCATGAATATCTTTAATAATTAAATATAAACTATTTTCAATATTCCAAAGATTTGTTCTCAAGTAATTTCGAACTTTAACAATTTCCATCTTTATTCCACATTCTTCTTCAATATTTTCAACGAGTTTATTTTCCGCATTAAATTGAATATTTATAATTCTTGAAGGGGAATATGAATTAATTTGCCAATTAAATAATTTATCTAACCATTCACCCGTCCACCAATTTGATGATAATAATGAAAATTTTTGTCGAAAAGAAGATTTTTGTGACGACAGAGAAGATTTTTGGGTTGTTGTTGAAGAGGAAGAAGAAGAAGGAAGTAAAGATGATGATGATGATTGTTGTTGTTGTTGTTGTTGTTGTTTATAATTCCACAACCAATTACGAGTTAATTCAATAATTTCATACATCGCAGGTTCTTCTTGAGATGATAATTCTTTGGCACGATCTTTTAAAATATTTTCTAACTCATAAAAATCATTTGAATTTATATAATTTGAAAAAAGATTAATTAATTTAATTTCTAAAGGAATTGAAGGGTAACCTAATGGTATATTAAATAAAATTTGAATAAATTGAGGGTCATTATTATTAATGTCATTAATTTTATTATCATTGTTAATATCGTCATTATTTCCAGACGATATCATTATTCCATACCATTTAGGTATCGTATTTGAAATTTTAAAATCATTATTATAAATTGACTGTAAAACTTTTATTTCGTCAATATTTCCCATTTTTTTTTTTTGTTTTTTTTTGGATTTATGAAAATAAATTATTTTCATTAAAAATCCGAACTGATATAAATACTGAAATTTTCCTTTTTTGATAATTTGGGGCGTAGTGGTGGTGTGAGTGGCGTAATAACTGCGGAGCACAAAAGAATTTTATTACGCAGCGCAGCAAGCCAAAAGTCATTACCAATAATAGTTAGCCCATAATTTATTAATTAATTTATTTATTTATTTATTAATTATATTTTTTATACAAATATTTAGATTTCTAATCGTCGTCAATGAAAATAAATAGTCAAAAAGAAGTTGTCCGTTTCATAAATAAATAAATAAAATAAAATGAATGAATGTACAAATATATAAAAAGGATACAAAAGAATAAAAAAAATAATTAATAATTTTCTATCGAACTAGGTGCACAATAAAATCCTGCTATCAATACTAAATAACTTAGGATTAAGATTGATCCTTTAAAATAATTAGATTTCCCTTCAATATAAGTATAAGTTAATAAAAATACTGAAAAGACTACTACAAATGCATCCCATCTAGGAAATATCAAACTTTTTTTATTTAAAAACAACAGAAAAAAATTTTTTTTTTTTGTTAGTTTTCGAATTGAAAATTTCATCATAACCAAATAATCCTTTAAAAAAAAAAATAACTTACGTAAAGGTATGACCGATTTGTGCAAGGTCCGTTTTACCATAATTATACCAAGCTGAAAATGCAACCATCGCAGGAATTTGTAAAAGACAAATTTGTAAAGCATATGCTGATCCAATTTCCATACTTTAATTAAAATAATAATAATAATAATAATAAATGTTTAAATGAATGATTTACTCAAAATTTCACTATAAACACACAGGAAATGAAAAAAAAAAATAACAATAAAAGACAACTAAATATAACTCACCTTAAAGCAATATTACCATATAACGCAAATGCCATGGCATTTACAAATTCAGTAGCACTTGGTACTAAAGCGAATAGAGTCAATCCCAAAAACTTTTCAGTCACAATAAAATGAGACTGAATTACGTCCACATTTGACACCAAAATTTCTAAAATATTATAAAAATGAATATAATAAAATATAATAAAATATAATAAAATATAATAAGATATAATAAAATATAATAAAATATAATAAAATATAATAAAATATAATAAAATATAATAAAATATAATAAATATAATAAAATATAATAAAATATAATAAAATATTATTGATACATACCAGCAATTAAAGAGTATAAAGCTGTACAAGAAATTAAAATAATTACACTTTTTTGTTTACTCCAATTTGGTGAATCATGTCCAGAAATTTCCTCCTCTTCCTCCTCCACCTCCTCAAGTTGATGAGCCTGTGCCGCAATTGATGCAGCAGCAGCGGCAGCAGCAACTGTTGCAAAATGAATATTTTGGTCATGAGACATTATATTAGCATTTTCAGTACTTGGACCAGGTAATGGCAATTGAACATTATGTGTCGGTAATTGAGATAATTGACTAGGTGCAGACATTGGTCGTTCAGTTGTAGTGTTTGGATTATTTTGATGAGATGTGGTTGTGGTACTACTTAAAGGTAATAGTTGTTGTAATAATTGTAAAGGGGAAAGTCGTTTGTAGAGAGATTGACGTGTTTGATGATCCTGACACTCCTGATTATCCTGATTATCCGTAGAACCTTGATGTTGATGTGTAGTTTGCCATACCAAAGAAGCATGGGTGCGTAGAGAAAACCATAAGCCAATAAGATATGACTATAATTATCATAGTAATAAAATAAAATAAAATAAAATAAAAAAAAATTGAATATAAATTTTATAAAAGACGAAAAAAAAGAGAAGAATAATTACCAAAACTAAAATTGCAGCACTAAAATACATGAGAGGTTTCACATGTTCTTTGTATACCCCAGTAGTTATTGGATCTAATGGAGTATGTTCACATTCTTGACAAGAATCCGTAAGAACTTCACACTGCCTTGTTTTACATATTAATTGATACTAAAGAGATAACAACAATAGATAATAATTAGAAAAATTAAATTAAATAAATAAGAAATATATCGGAAGATAAATAAGATAAATAAAATATAGTATAATATGCAAATATTATGTACCGGTGCATAAATTTGATAAAATAATGTTGGAGTAAGAGCTCCAATAATCGCCATAATAAGCATAGTTGATGTTACCCCTGGAATCAAAGAAAAGAAAAGAAAGAAAAGAAAGAAGGAAAAATTAATAAATCAAAAAAAAATATATATATCCGAAGTTTTAAATTATATTTATTTATTTATTTATTTTTTCATCTTTCATACCTGCACTCTTTAAATTAAATCTTTGTTCTTTACGTTTAAGTCCACTACATACCATACTTAATCCTGGCATAAGTAAAACAGTTGCCGCAAAACTACCGATAATACATCCTTCAGTTAATTTTCCTCTGCCTTCAGTTAAAGCCACTGCATATAAAATAATTTCTACTATACTACCAAATGTTGCATTAATCACTGCTCCTAAACCAATTGATGATTGTGCTGAAATAGAAGCCACCGCCATTCCAATAAAATATGAAAGTGGAATTACTGATAAAAGTGAAAATGTGAATAGAATTTCATTTGAAAGCATTTTAAATAAAAAATTATCAAATATTGCAAAAAATACTATAGGAATAAGATCTATAAAAATAATATTAATCCCTTCATATGTATATTTATAATATTGAAATCCAATAGCTTCCGTTGTACATAATAAAATCTTTGATAAATTAGAAAATGATCCAGATTTAAAGTGTAAATTGAGTGGTTGTTCTCTTAAAAGTATTGTAAGTTTATAAGTAAGTTTTGCCATTGGAATGGAAAAAATTCCAAACCAACATAAACTTGATACTAAAAGAAATGATGGAGCTATCAAAAAAAAAAAAAAAAAAAAAAAAAAAAAAATTTTTTAATTTAATTTAATTGAATTTTAATTTTTAATTAAAATATAATTAAAATAAAAAAAATAAAATAAAATAGAATATAGTTCATGTATTATTACCTAAAAATAAAAAGAACCAAAAATAAAATACAAATTCAGCTGGTCCTATTTTTCCTAATCCTCCGAATATATTTAACCTCTCTCGCTTAATTCTACGAAAATCTCCATAACTTGTTCGACGTCCCAATAATGGACGATCCTCTTCATAATCTCCATTTGCTGTTAAATCATTATGTAAATCTCCATTATTATTTTCATGTGTTCGATCTTCTTCATCTTCCCACCATTCACCAGTTCTTTCAACATATTTACCAAATGGCCAAAAAATGTAAAAACTAAGTTCTCGTAATACTCTAGAATAATGTTGTCCTCCATAAGGTGTAAATAATAAAAACATTGATACAATAAAAGATACTAAAGCTAACCACCAACCAAATAATATTGTCCAAATTATATTTCCTGGATATAAATATAATTGTGAAGTAGGTATCGAATGTAAAGCGGAATCCGCGTTACGAGTTACAGTACGTGATTTTTTATATAAAGCTGGTTTCCATAATCGAAGACCAAATGGATGTTGATTATTAATTGCCTAACATAATATCAGATATATTTTTATGAATTAATTAATTTTTTTTTAAATAATAAAAAAAAAAACAAACAAACAAAAAAATTAATCAAATTTATATTATTATTATATAAATATATAAATCTATATACAAACTATATTGAACTCACATCTTGTATATCCTTAAGAGTAACTTCACGTTCACTTTCACTACTTTCTGTATCATTATTATCTCCATCTTGATCCAATATAATATTACTCGCACTATTATGACTTGGTTTACGACTTCGTCGCTTTCTTAAGGTCTTTCGTCTATTACGTTTTTTAGAATCATCAGTTTCATCGTTAGTATCATCAATCAGTAAATCGTCCTCATCTTCTAAATATGAGGATTTGGATTTACGTCTTGATGGAGAATGCCCTTTCAAACTACCATTGGAAGAAGTTGGTCGAGATCGATAAGAACGTGAATGCATACTATGAGGTGGAGTTTTTCCTATGGGTTTTGAATAATCCCCTTGATTATTCAATTCTTGGTCAGTCGTATTGTTTTTTGATGCATCTTGACCACCACGTAAATCTGAATTAGGATTGGATTCATTGGATTCACTAGATTTTACAGAAGAAATTGAAGTTCTTCTAGGAAAATTATTTGATGGACCTGAAATATTTGGATTATTACTAAAATAATCTTGATTATCATCTCGCGACATGATATAACGTTATTTTAAAATATTTAGAACACTCCGATAATATTTATTAAATAAAAAAAATCCTTGTGCCTAAAATTAGATAAAAAAAAAAACGAAAAACGGGCGGGTACTTTATTTATGTAATTAATACAGATCATTCCCAAATTAAGGAATAACTTTTTTCGTGATAATCAATAAAGGGGTATATGATGTAATATCCATTAATATATCCCGATATTTACACCAAGATAAAAGATAACCCAACGCTTTGTTATGATCATGGTAGATAAAGCTTAGATCTACCTTAGATGTGACTTTATAAATCCATAATCCGAAAGTTAATGCGGGAATCGGATGATATTAAAAATACATCGAAGAAAATTCGCTACACGCTGCATGTATTATTAATTACCTATAAACGTATAGTTAGTGGACAGTGTTGTCAAGGGACAAAAATTATTTTTTTTTAAAAATGTAAATGACAAAATTTTACTTAAAATTTGCTTTGGGCTATTAATTAAAGTTGTTTGAAATTGATTTTATATATATCTTGAAAGTTTTAATATCCATTTATGAATTAGTTAAGAGTAGGGACATTGGGACATAGGACATGGGACACAGGGACAGTCAAAAAAGCTGGGGACGGGCAAATTTGACAACACTTGTTAGTGGGGATACAAGAGAAGAAAAAAAAAATTGCCACAGCTTTGAGATAATATATTCAATTGAAAAGTTTTAAATAAATAAATAAATTAATACTTTAGAGATAATAAACAAATCAATTTAGGTAAATTAAACATTTGTTAAATTATTTCAAGGATGAATATAACACATTTTTATTCACAATACATTAAAAATAAATTATTTTGATTGCTGACTCGCATTTACTCGAATATCAACTGTAATTTAATGTAAACTTGATAAACAAAGCAATTTTAAACAATTTAAAACTTAAATTTAGTACATAATATACAGTTACAGCAAATGTCTACCCTAAATCTGTTCTTTAAATCTAACTCTTTAAATATTAATATTAATATATTATTATTATTATTATTATTACTCTTTCGCTTTTTTGGATGGCTTTTCAATTTCACTTTCGGCTTTTCGTTTCAATCCAAATGTTACCTTTTTAAATAATAAAATAAAAAATCGATCAAAAATTATTATTATTATCATTATTATTATTATAGAAAACATAATTTTAAAAAACATTAAAAAAAAAATTACAATTACCTTTTCTCTTTCAGGTGCATTCATACTTTGACCTGTCAAACCCCCATTAACAGTGATTATATTAGGTCCACTAACCGAAGTATTTCCAGGTTGTGCCTTTTTAACATCAGTATTTGATGTCACGCTTGGAGGAACAACTCTAAATTATTTGTAAAAATTAATCATTTATTAATGGTTTATTACGATAGAAATAAAAGAATAAAAAAAGATGATAATACTTACGCTCTATTACCAATAGAAAGTACCACGTGTGCACTTCCGCTGGCTTTTTGTCTTTCTTGTAATGCATTAGCCATATTTAATGGGGTATCTATACTACTCATGGCCTTCAATTTTCGTTCCTCATCTAATTTTTTAAGACGTTTTTCAGTCTTGGATTTACCAGATGATTTTCCATGGAATTTGTGAGACAATTGTCGAAAAGCCTAATATTATTATAACGATTAATAACAAATTAATAACAAACAAATTAATCAATAACATTAGAATATCTCTCTCACCTCTTTGGGAGTTAATTGATTACCAAACTCATCAACATATTCTAAATTGATGTCAGGTTTGTAATCTTTAAATCTTGCTTCCATCTCTCTTAAATGTTCCCGTTCACGATAACTACTATCGCTGTCACGACCAGCTCCACCACGATATCCTTTTTCTTTAGCACGTTGTTTTTCACGTTCTCTTTCGGTTTGTCTTTCAAGATCTCTTTTACGTTGTTCTCCAAGCCATTTTTGTCTTTCCCTTTGTACGCGTTCTTTATCAAGTTGTTCTTCCGATGGTTTAATCGAAAATCCTAAAAATTTAGATAGATAGATAGAGAGAGATATATATTATTTGGTATACACAAATGTGAGTGCGTAGAGGTAAAGGAGGTATATATAAAAAGGAACTTCTATCTATCAATCGATCTAATAAAGTAATAAGACATGTAAAATCTTTACCTTTTTGTTGTAATAAAGCCAATGTAGCTGCCATTCCACCGCTTACCAGTGGCTCTTCCTCTACTACACCAGACTAAAATATATATTAAAATTAGAGACCGCTCTGATGAAATTAATGTTCCCTCTATATATATATATAAAAGAAAGAATTCCTTACATATTTTGGTTCTTCATTAAGTTTCGTCACACCATTATCCTGTTCTTGTTGAATTTCCGTAGCATCTTTCCATCCACCTTTTGTATTTTTTTCTTCTTCTTCAACTTCATCCATCTTTACATCAACATCATCTTCAACTATTTCAGATTGATCTTTTTTATCCGAAATTTTTTGTAATATTGGTTCATCAGTAGGTTTTGTTATTTTAGGAGCTATAGATAATGATCGAACAAATTCAGAAGTATCTGAAATTACTAATCCTTCTCCAGGAATATCTTCATCTTCGTTGACATTTTCTCTACTTCGAATCACTATACATATATTATAACATTAATAAAATATAAAATATGAATATTATTATAACATCAATAAAATATAAAATATAAATATTATTATAATATTGAAAAATGCATCAATATCGATATAATATAATATTAAAAAAAAAATTAATAATATAAAATAAAAATAATGCGTACAAGTTCTTGCAATTTCTTCAACCGAATTCTTTGCCGAATTTTTAGTGGCCATCTTTCTTGCTCTAGCTAATGCTTGCTGAAGGTCATCGTCATCGACAAAATTTATTTCATCGAGATCTTCCAACCTCCTCCTTTGATTCCTCGTATTATCTATTTCCATTTCGTTATTTTTATTATCGTCAACATTATTATCTGCTGATGTTAAATCATCATCATCATTTGTCTTCTTTCTAACTTTCTTTTTCTTCTTGATCTAATTCATTTTTGAACTGATGGTTAATTTGGGTTAATAATAAAAAAAAAAAGAAGATAAAATTTTATTAAAATTTTTTTGATATGATTAAAATACGAACCTTTTTTGGTTTCTTAAATTCAACCTCTGCTTCTTCTCTAGTATAATAATCTTGAATTTCTCTCATTTCTTATATAATTATTTATTAAAGTTATTAATAAAATTGTTCAGGATAAATAATAAAAAATAATTTCTATTTTTTTTTTTTTTTTTTCAAAAAAAAAAACTAAAATTAATTTAGGAAAAAATAGGATACTATCAAATGTCAGAGATATAGATTTTGGCTTTTCAGTTGTAATTTGCTTATTATCCACTTCAAAAACGCCATCGGTTTCAATCATAAATCCCTGAATTTCCCCCAGTAATAATAATAGAAATAATTTTAATATCCAAATAACAATAACGAAAGATCAAATAACCAAATTTTTTACGAATTTAAATAAAGTACATACATACATTTCGTTTTTCACCTTCAATTTCTTCATCATAATGGGATAGAAGACCTTTTTTTGTTATACCACCACCAAAATTGAATTCTTCATCATCATAACCAGAGTAAACAGGCTTTTTCTTTTTATTTTCTAAATTCTTTTTTAATCTTTGCTGTTCCTCTAGTTGAATTGAAACCAGTTGATCACCTTCGTCTATTTATTTTATTTTTTTTTAAAAAAAAAGTAATTTTAATACAGATTGAAGGCATGATCTTTTGACATGATTAACAGATCATGAACTTCACCTTCATTTTCAAGTATAGAAGAGTCTTTCAGAACCAAGATTCTTTCTTGGCCATCTTGGAAATCAGTAATATCGTGTGCTACTTGCATTTTTTTTTTAAAGAAAAGAAGTTTGAAAAGTTAAAAAGTTAATTTCATTGGTTGACGATCCTGTTGATCATTTACACGATATATAAATCAAAACAATTTCTATAAAATAAAATCTCTACAAAACTTTTAACATTACAAGTCCCCCCACCAACGCATACAAATACATACCAATATATTAATTACATCAATAAAAAATTACATCAATAAAAGAAGAAATAATTATAATGTTTCCAAAAAACGAAGGTCCTTGCGCAATACAAAATTGTGATCAAAAAACGAATCGATTTCGTGTATTTACCCTTTTGGCATATCACTTTTCCTTCTTATTCCAACTTAAAAGTCGGACAACAATTATGTCATAATCATTATATGCGTATTGTTGAGCCTTATCGTAATAAAGAGTTAGTAAGTTTATAAAATAAAAATTTATGTGATTATTTTCAATATCGAATTTTCTAAAGTCACATACATCAATTACATTATCACCACAATACTAGAAGAAAATCATCTACCTCTTCATGATAAAGTGCAGAATCATTATCTCATCTTTAACATTTTCTTTATGATCACCACACCAACTCACTAAATCAATCAATCAAAATAAGGTAATTAGAATAATAATATGAAAATTATTACCATTTGATAAACATAAATAAATGAATGAATAATAATAACAATGCAACAAAAAAGTAATTCTTTTTCTGTCACTTTTTTGCTTACTAAATTTGTTTCAATACACAAATAACACAAACGTGAAAAATGACATAAAATGACATCTGTATCAATGATCAATGATCTACCATACATTTCTAACAATTTCATTTAATTACAAACCAGATTAAAACATGTTTTTTTTTAAAGTTTTAATTTAAAACCTATTTCCTGTGTAATAAATAATTGTATATATATAGAAAGACGAACGAATAAATCAAATGTATATATATAGGGAGTAAAAGGACAAGAATTACTTTAAAAACATCGTACATTTCTTTCTTTTAAAATTTCTTTTAAAATTCTTTGACTTTGACACAGTGAAATCAAAACAGAATGAATAATAACAATTTGATCGATGATAATAAAAATAATGATCATGAAAACAATGAAAATGAAAAAAAAATTTCAGTTAATAATGTCAATACCAACTTCTTTACATCAACTTATAATTTTATTAGTCACCATTTTAATACATTATTTATAAAAATACTTCGACAAGGACCAATTCCCAAACACATTGGATTTATCATGGATGGGAATAGAAGATATGCAAAAAAGAACAATAAAAAAATAATAGAAGGTCATCAAATAGGATTTGAAACATTGCACTCGGTAATTATTTATCATTATATTTAATAAATTTTCATAATAATAATAATAATAATAATAATAATAATAATTATATTTTCTTTTTTCTTTTTAGATGTTAGAAGTTTGTTCACTTCTTGGAATAAATACAGTAACAGTTTATGCATTTAGTATAGAAAATTTCAAACGTCCACCAGAAGAAGTGAAAAAACTTATGGAACTTGCAAGAGAAAAATTAATTGAATTATGCGAAAAAAGGTAAATTTACATTTACATTTATATTTATTTATTTATTTATTTATATTTATATTTTACATTTATTATTTTACATTTTTTATATTTACTATATTTATTTATAATTTAGCAAGAAAGCAAAAAAACGTAGAATTGGAATAAAGGTATTAGGTAATATGAAATATATTGATTCGGATTTACAAGAAGTTATAAATAAAACCGTTGAAACTACTAAACACAATAATAGGTAAATATGATATATTAAATATTATTAAATATTACATTAATAATAAATAATATATAATAATAATATTAATAAATATATTATTTCTTTCTTTTCTTTCAGTTCAACTTTGAATATTTGTTTTTCCTATACATCAAGAGATGAAATGACCATGTCTGTCAAATCTATTGTAAAAATGGTAGAGAATGAACAATTACAAATTAAGTAAATGTAATCTTTTAATAATATTTCATTTGATATTTTTTTATTTTCTAACTTATTATTATCAAAATTACTGATTATTTTGAATTAATTTATTTATTTAATTTTAAAAGGGATGTCAATGAGAATTTATTAGAACAAAATTTATTTACTTGTGGGAATCCACCTCTAGAAATTTTAATTCGTACTTCAGGTGAAATTCGTTTAAGTGACTTTTTACTTTGGCAGGTAATAAAATAATTATTATTATTAGTTTAATATATTTTTTTTTTTACATTATTAAACCATTTTTTGTCAATAATAATAATAATAATAATATCTTTTGGTTATTTATTTGAATTTTTCAGTGTAGTCAAAATTGTTACATTAAATTTGTTAATTGTTATTGGCCTGAATTCTCAATTTATCATATGTTGCCAATTATTTTGGATTATCAAGCCAATTATAAATCATTTAAGGTAAATTTACACTTTCCCAATCATTATTATTATATTAACAGTATTATTATTATTATCCAGTATTTATTAATGAATATTGTTTATTTATTCAGAAAAAAACTATGCAAAATTGATATGCTTATGTTGTTGTTTTTATGCTTTATATCATTGTTACTTTGTTAAATTGAAAAAATAATCTAATAGACTTTTACATGTAATATTTCAAAGAAAAAAGATTTTTTTTTGTCTGACTGATGAGATATTGATAATAAATGAAATCTTACTATAATAATAAACTAACTAAAAAAAATAGTATAGAAATAAACAATTTTCTTGAATATATTATCTTCTTTATCCATATTAATGCATTCTTTGAAATCACAATCAAAAGTTGAGATATCAGTTTTTTTGTATGATAATACTAATCAATTCGTGATTCAGATAATTTGATAATAATAGAAAAAAACATTAACTAACTTATATGTTGATTTTATATAATTAATTCAAATAATTCATTCCAATCAAGATTAAAGTTTGAATATTACATTTAAGGTAAAAGAGGTAAAGGTTTGCTTATAAGAGATGCTTCAGAATGAATAGTTTCAACAGATTCTATTTTAATATCTTGTTTTATATTTCTTCATCTGCATTTAAAACATATGTGAAATTTTTTGTTTTTAAATTGGCGGTTAACTACTCAATCCATTTTTTTTTAATGTATTGAAAATTATTTCATCAATTCCGTATAACGCAGAGTTATAACTTTTCTTTGTTAATTTTTGGTCGAAGTCCATTAAAGAATATCAAAGGCTAATTCTGAAACATATTTTTCTTGTACATAATAATTCCAACACTGTAAATAAAATATCAGAAGCTTGTGTGCACCGGATCGTGGGCAATATCTCTGGTACAAATTTTAGTCAATATCACAAAATTTATATCTACACAAAAAAATCATCATCCCTGGCATAACATAAATCAATCATATGAACTTTATATTATTAATAACGAATAAATCACTGATAAAAGAATGCAATAACCATAGCCAAGTCAATGTATTATTTGGTTGAAGAAATCATATATCGTGTATTCTTTGTTGAATTATATCCAAAATTGGTAGAGCTTATTTAATAAGTATATATTAATATTTTTAATATTTACCTCATCTAAAAATTCAGAACTTGTTTCTTGTGAATTTTTAAGTTTCTTCAAAGCAACTTGATTTGAATTATAGATTTTAAATATGTCTTTAGGCATATCTATCCATTCGGGTTTCCAAATACTACCAAATCCCTTCGGATAAATTTTTAATATCTATCTCCAAATTTCCCATTCCTTTGCATTTTCATCTAAATGAGTTATTGTTACTAGGCTAGGATTATATTTCCCCATTCCCTTCATTAGATTTCAAGTACCACTGAAAAGCTTTCTTTTCATCTTTTGTGATTCTAATCAGTTTTTTAATAATATTGCCTCCTTCAGTTGATTTCAAATAAAATCGAAATGTCTTCTTTTCATCTTCTGTAGTAGTCTCAATGAAATTTCCCTCTTAGGCTGATTTCAAGTACAATTGAAATGCCTTTTCTTCATCTTTGATAACCAACAATACACTAATTTCAAGTACAACTGAAATTTTTTTTTTCATGATCTATCTTTTGTGGTTTCATTATAATGTGTATTTCCCATTTATGTGGAGAACAAAGTTTTTAATAATCTGTTTTCTAAAAGTTGTGTTGAATTTAGGTTATAAATAAACCTTATTTGAATTGCAATATTCAAATTAAATTTCTGTAAAATAAATACGTAAAATTTAAAATAATTCTAGAATTTTAAAATTTATATTATATTCTAAAATTGGAATATTCTTTAAGATTAATCCTTATTATCAAACTCTTGAAAATAAACTTTATCGTCTTGTTAATTTCATTTGGATACAATAATCACAGTATACGTGCAAAGTTACCTATATGTCGTAGAAATTCAAAAAAGGAAGTTACAAGTGCCCTTGTTAAATTTTCCTTTTTTGAATTTCTGCGACACATAGGGTTATAATAAATGAATCCTTTTTATTGTTTAATACTTTAGAAATCCACTTGAGTGCTAGTAGAGCAGAGGGACTTTTCTGGCAACAGCAAATAAAAAACCAATATTTAAACATTAAATTATTTAAAAAAAAATAACTTGAGCTCAATAATATGTAAAAATTCACATTTCGTAAGGAATATTTTAATCTGTGATAAACGTAATGTAACGATTTTCCAAAAGTGGTGTGGTTACCAAATATTTTTAAAATTTTGATAAAAAAAAAAACGAATAAATAAAAAATAAATAAATGAATAAATATGATATAAAAAAATAATTAATAACACCAATTCCATCTCTAATTATAGAAACGTCTATTTTTCAAATGTTTATATCAAAACTCATCCGAATAGAGGTGATCGTGTCATTGAGGATATGTTATATACAATAATATACATAAATTTTCATTCTGGCTAATAACCAAATAGATTAGATCCAGAATATACACTTATTAAAGAATAGGACCAGCCCTTTTAAGTGCTTTATAGATAATCCATCTATCGGGAACACTAAGGAAATATCTGTAATATTTATTTGGAATAATGATTTAGTGTAGTGAAAGATAATATCATTTTTTTTTTTGGAAAATACGAGAAAATCAAATTTTACTTACTTATCCATAGCTGCCCGGAATCTATTTTTGTATTGATGAGGTGTAACTATGGTCGGTTCTTTTCTACCACCACCCAAGAAACCAGATGCTTTAACCCAACTCTCAAGTGTTTTATCCCATGTAAAGGTTCGAATAAAATCTGTTTAGAAAGTAAAAGTATTGTTATAATCAATACATTATAAAAATGTGAAACATGATAAAAAAAAAAAAAGAATATGAAACAATGATAAAAAAAAAAACTAAAACTAAAACGAAAACTTACCAACTATTCCTACAACTAATTCGTGCTTTTCTTCATCGAATCCAACCAAAAGAGAATAGTCCATTACATTATGTCTTGCCAAAAAAAGTGTATCATTGAACAATGATTCATGCAAGAGTTTTTTGGCATGTTCTCGTAGATACAATGGTTTCTCGTTCATAATAACTATGAAAAACAAATAAGAATATAAACATCGAAAACAGAATAAAGAAAAAAAAAAAACTAAAAACTAAAAAAAAAAAATTAATATTTACGTTCTAAAAGATTTTCATCCAATAAAACTTCGTTTTCTTTTCCAGTGCTTTGTACATGTCGATTACGCATGGATCCTTTGAGATCAAAAATCTACGAAACAATAAAAGATTAACAAAAAAAAAATATATACAAAAAAAAAATTTCATGAAAATAAAGTAGGTAAATGTTGACTAACCCTTGAAACCTTACGTTCATAGAAAAGATTTTCCATGACGATTATATCTATTTTCATGTTTTTGCCATTATTTTCGTTTTTATATCCAATTCGATAAAATCCAAAAATTTTTGTCAAACAAATGGGCATCTAATAATAATAATAATAATAATAATAGTAATAATAATAATAATAAGCAAAAAAAAAATTAGAAATAAAATTAATATTCTAATAAATCTTATTAATATACGAGTAAATAAAAATAAATAAAAATAAATGAAAATATATGTATATATATATTCATAAACTAACATCAATTAATGCGTTAGTCATGTATTCAAAATATCTAGGAGCAAATTTCACAAATGCATCGACTTCATGTCGTGAAATTTGCTTCATAACCAGACGATCATCTAAATAAACAAACATCAACATTAATAATTATTGGATAATAATAATAATAATAATGATAATTTATCATTTTTAATAAATGGAATTGAATGAAACCTCGAGTTTTTAAGAATGCCGATCCAGATTTTCCACCAGAAGAATCCCATTTCACACATCGTGCTAATGATTGAATATATGTACTTTCACAGCCACACTTTCTTCGAAGATTATCAAATTGCTCGGCACAAAATATTTTACAGAAAAGGTGGGTTGATCCACCAGAAAATTCTACAATATTCAATAAAAAAAATAATAATAATAATTGTGATTAAAATATATATCATCAAGAATTTGTTAATGACTTCATTTAAAAATAATTCTTACGATATTTCATGTGAGATATTAAACCATCCTCTGCATCGTTATTTTCGTCCGCGTCAAGAAGTCCCCAATTGGAAACGTTGGCACCTCTACGATCTTCATCCGGCATGAACGCTTCATTTTTCTGGTAAGATGGTTGCATGCTTTTCAATTTTTCTAAATACTCGTGAGAGCTTTTATATAAAGAAAAGTCAAATTTTAAAATGTTTGCATAAAATTTTTATGTTTTTTTTTGAGATTGAAATTTATTTTATTAATTTATTTTATTTTATTTTTTTTTTAAAAAAAAAAAAATTGTTCACCTTAAAGAAAAAGCAATTATGGAACTTGGTTCATCCTCTCTTACAATTATCGAGGAATCAGGAAATACGTGCTCGGTTTGATTTCTATAAATATAAGACACAAATTATTTAAATTAGAATTTAAATAAATAAAAAATTTTAAATAAAAATATATATATACACATATAAAATATACTTACAAAGGATAATCCAAAGGATTTAAATGTTTTTTATCCGTCCAAAGATTCGCGAGCGACCTAACCAATGGTATAACTCTCCCTGTTCCATTAAAAGTATCTTGTGGATAAGTTACTGGAGCTGTTGGTTCATTTAAGTCTTGACCTAAAAACGCCAACGCGGAATGATACATATAAGATTCATTTAATGGTTCACGACCGGGTAATGGGAAAAATTCTTCATTTCCTAATGACTCATCAAATGCATCAGTACTATTTAAAGAAAAAAATTTAATTTCATCATCGGAATTAGTGTCATGTTCATCATCTGCGCTTTCACCAAATTCTTCTTCATCCGATTCTTCCGCAGTTGCCGCCTCGGAGTTATTAAATACTTCAATAGTTGGTTTTGTAGGAAGAACAGTTTTTTTTGTACGTTTTTGTTTACGAAGTCCTGACATTCTACGACGACTACTACTATTTTCGTGAGTTCGAAGTGGACTAAGACCATAATTATCCACGGGATTTTTCGTTAATTTAAATTGCCTTGAACTTGATGATCGAGGTATCGCGGACCTTTCAAAAGGAATATTTTGATTTCTCTTTAGAGTTGACAATTTCAAAGTTACATTATTATCTTTTTCAGGTACAAATGGTAAACGAGTAGGTCTAGAATTTGGTGGACGATTTGATCTATTTTGTATTACTAATTGATTTCTTTCGGATTCACTAGGTTTTTCGAATGATGGTAATCCTTTCGGTGCCAATCTTGAAGATCTTTGTCTTACCGTTGTTGGTAATAGACGGGGTATAGTTTCTGGATATTGTGAATAATCTATAGATTCTTCCGTCTTATCAATTATTGAAGTAAATATAGCTTCGGATGTCGTACGATTGTTCTTTTTTTGTCTTCGACCATTTTTTGATTCTTTCATCCATTTCATTGATAATCGTCGAGAAACTTTTGGATCCATAAATGGAAACATGGACATTTGTGAATTCGCCTTTTCAATATCATTCTCAAGGCTTTCAATTTTATCATCTTGATAATAATCGAGATCTTTAAATTGATCACGAATGAAATCCTCCATAGGTGAACTTCCTAATTTTGGAAATATTGTTGGACCATATCCTTCTTCATCAAGTTTTTCCGAATTTGCTCCAGTATCAAAATCCATATTAATTAATGGTAAATCATTTAACAGTGTTCCTGAATGTCCTCGTCCTAATGTGATCACTTCATGATTATCTACGAAAAATCTTGCTAATTGTCCCGCAGTAAGACGAGGGAAATAATGTCGAGCAAATTCATTAAAATCTTTATCCCAAGCCACAACCTTTTCTTGAAGTAAATACATAACATTATTTAATGCTAATGAATCTTCTGGAGTACTATTAATATAGGTCTGTTTAAGTTTCTGAAGCATAAGATTTTTCTCAGTAACAACTCTTCGAGACATTTCAAGTAATTCTTGTTTACACCCTTCAACTTTATCCGTTTGAACAATATCATAATTGAAATTTTTAATTCGATCTGTAACAGAATCCCAATAATTTGTAATCTTGTTACGAATATCATCTAAATCTTGATTCTTTAAACGAATATGTACTTCCGGTTTAGTATATAAGGTCATTGGGGGTGGGAAAATTTCTAAAAGTTCAATTGGTTCATATTCAAATCTTATTACAAGTCCATTAAAATGAAATAATAATTCATGTTCTCGAAAAACATCATGAGTACAATTTTCCAATTGACTTTTCAATTGTGTTTGATAAAATGATAATTCAAGATATTTTCCAAATGAATATTTCCATGTTTCATCTGACATTGGTGCCAAATCAGTTGAAAGATTACATTTTTTACAATGAGTTAAAAGATAAATATTAGGTTCAATAACTAATTGAGATACATCGGTTTCTTCAATCGAAGCAATAATTCTAGCATTTCCATGACAAAAAACATGATAATGTAAGATCATAGGACGCTCGCAGGTACGACAAAGATATGAAGATCGTGAAAAAGTTTCTTCAAGATATTGTCCTAAAGTACGATCCGATTCCCGATAATATTCCATAAGTAAAATCTCTGGACCATTACAAGGTTCTTTTGTTTCGATACAAATTTTAGTAAATAGAACAGCTATATTTTGATGAGCGTAAGGACTAACAACATTGTTATATGTATAATTTTCCCAAGCTCTAGTTTGAAGCATTTGTTCATGAATAGATTCACAAAATTCTCCTTCGGCAACAACTTGTTCGGGAGTACGTAAAATACCATTAATAGATGAAGATGATGAATGAGTCTTTTCGTTATCTTTAAATCCACCACTCAAACCATTCCGTTTGAGACTTAATTCTTTAAGTCTTTGTTCGGCTTGTTTCATTTTTGTTAATAGATAAGGAGGAGGGAATTTTATAAATGGGGAAACTGATAAAATGGTAGATTGATAAGGTTTCAAAATGGCATCTTCATTAACATTTTTTTCATTCTCATTTTTATCATTTGATTGAATAATGAGAGGAAAATTTGAGTATTGATCGGATATAAGAGAAGATTCTAATTTCAAATTATAAACTACGAAAACCATTAAATCCGTAATACGTTTAATCTTTTTGAGAGTTTCTAAATCACCACCTCTTATGACTATAGTACATCCTAATTTTTTTGGACAATTTTCAAAAAATAAATAAGTTTTTCTTCTTCCTGGAATAAGTTGATGTACAAATGTTTTAACTGAGAATGCTCCACACTCTCCTAGGTTAGGAGCTAAAGCGATGTCGATTGAAGGAATGATATCAGCTCGAGCACATCTTGCTACGGCTTCAATTACCGAAGGTTTAACATTTATTGCCACCGCGATTTTTTTTTCTAATAAGAATTGTAAAGCTTTACGTGCAACGGTTTTTTCTACCAAGACCAAATTAGGAGCGAACGCGGAAATACGATTAACGAGATTACGTAAATGTTGTTCTTCTTGAGCTATTACAGGTTCTAAGGACATAAGTTGATTTTCAATCCGATGATATTCCAATGCAAATGTTAAAATTAGAATTTTAGGATTATGAAGTATTCTTGGCATTTTTTTGTGAGCCAAATTTTTTGCGCAAACAACTCCATGAACATATTCGGAATCTTTGGGAGTTCCACCAGGAATTTTTTTTATTTTGACATAATGCCTTATATCAATATCATCCCCATTACGAACATTAGGATTAAGATTATTTGAAACTTCTATCATTAATTTCATTATTACTTCTTCCCATCCTTCAGATAAATCAATTTCCGATTCACGTAAGAATTGCCTTAACAATTTTCTCATATGTTGTTGTGAAGCAGTATTAATTTCAACTTTTACAGGTAAAGAAGCAGTTCGAACATGCCTAAAAGGAGAAGAAGGTCTTGAATCGGAACCTTCAATTGGTTGCATTATATTTGTGGTAATTGGTCTAAGATAACTTCTACTCATTCTAATTGGATGAGTATGACTTAATCTTCTTGTAATTGAAGAATTAGAAGAAAAACTTGAAGGAGGAGGAGGACGTTGCTTATGAATACTTTTTAATCTAGGATCAAATTCAAATTCATCATCACTTCCAGCATATTCAGAAACTGCAGGAGTTGGAGTAGTAGAATCAACAAGTCCATTAGGATGATGAGAAGAACCGGGTACAAAACTTAAAACATTTGAAAGATTTGTTAAAGAATCATAATGATCATCATCATATTCATCTCTCATATAAGGAGCAATTTCGGGATCTAATACAGCATCAGGATTAACAGCAGGAGTTACTTTATCTTCTTCACTTAAAACTTGTCGAAAAGGAACAGGAGGAGTAGGTAAACCATTGGTAGATGAAGAAGAAGAAGGATGTTGTGGTTCTTCAGTTATAGTATTTGATCTTGATCTTGACATAAATAAAGAAGAACTAGCAACAGAAATGATTTTCTTAATTCCATCATTTAATGAAAGAGTATCAGGTGAAGGGGGACGGGGAGGATCTTGACCATAATGATTATAATGATTATAATTATTATAATTATTATAATTATTATAGTTACTATCAAGTGACAAAGGAATTTGTTGAACTTGCCTCGGGTGACAAGTAAATTCTTTTTTTTCAGACATTCCAGGATCAGAGTCTTCATATTCTCTCATTATTCTACTACAGAAATCACAAACGCGAATTGATCCTTCATGATTAAATTTCTCACCGGGAATAATATTTGATGCACATTTTGAACAAAAGATTTGACCTTTTTAAATAATATAATTTAAATAATAAAAATATAAATTAAATAAATAATATTAAATATAAATATAAATGATATAAATATAAATATAAATGATATAAATATAAATATAAATATGAATTAAATAATAACAATATATAAATCAATCAATCAATCAATCAATCAAAAAAAAAAAAAATAAATGAATAAAAATTAAATATAATAAATAAAATGAAATTACCACAAATACGACAATGATGTTTTCTTCGATAAATAGTAAAATTCGCTTTACAATCATAACATGATTTACAAGTATCATCAGACATCCAATGATCTTTATTCACTCCTTCACCTCGAAGTCGCCTCATAACTTTACTTATGGAATAATTATTACCAAATGATGCAGTAGATCTAATTGAACGGGTATCTGATGTATCTCCTTTATTATTTTTATTATTATTCTCATTTTCATCATTATCACCTTTATTATTATTATTATTATTATCACCTTTATTATTATTATTATTATGTTTATCAATCATTGAATTTTCATTGTCATTGTTTACATTCCTATTTTGATTTTGATAATTATTATTATTCTGATTATTATTCTGATTACTATTTAAATTATTTAAATTATTTAAATTATTTAAATTTTGATTATTTGAATTGTGATTATTTGAATTGTTATTTAAATTGTTATGATAATTTAAACTACTACTATTTAAATTATAGGTAATTAAATTACTGTTATTATAAATTAAATTTGATTCAGTATAATCTTGAATCCCATCTTCTAAATCGATAAGAGGTGTTAAAGTATTTGCATTTTCTAAGAAAGGAGGTATCACGTTAATAACAGGTGGTGGTGGAGGAAGTTGTATAGAGAAATTTTTATTTACTTTATCGAATGGTGAAGAACTTAAAGGTGAAGAAGGTGTAAATTTTGGTGATAACGGTGGTGAAATAATCGAACAATTATCGTGAGAATCCAATAATGCATTATTAGACTTGGTAGAATGTGAAGGAACCGAATTTGTGAAGGAACTCTTAACACGGTGAAATAATTTCGCAATAACATTTTCGTTATCTTGTTCGAAAGGTCGATGAAAATCGAAACTTGTTAAAGTGGTGATATCAGAATTATCTACTTGAAGTGACGTCATGTCGTTGTTCGTTGTCGTTATTTATTATAATTATTCTTTAATTGTCCTGCAATCAAAAAAGAAAAGAGAAGAAAGAAAGAATTTGATAAAAAAAATTAGATTAGGAAATACCGATTCGATGACGTTATCATTAATACCCCTTAAAAACTTATAAAGCTTAAAAAAGAACGATAAAAATGATAAAATGAGGGTTAATCCGATTATAACATCACATAAAAATATAAATTCGTGTAACGTTATAAATGTTAAGAACAACATCGTATCGTTCTTTGAGAAGTTAGATGTAAAATCTAATTATGGGGAAAAAAATAGAAACGTCCGGAAATAATCTTTCAAGCATAAAAGTAATAAAAAAAAAAATTTATGATAAATTTATTCATTTATAAAAAAATTTACAATAAATTATTCAATTGAATTAATTGAATTGAATTTATTAAATTTTTTTTAATTTATTTATAAAATTATATGAATTTCATGAAATTACATGAATAGATTAATGGCAAATTTGTTGCGTATTCACATACAATATTTGCATATGGTAACGAATTTGTTAAATAATAATAATTCTAAATTTTAATTTTTTTCATAATGGATAATATTATGATATTTATTGAAATATTTTTATTTTATTTAGTCTCATTTATTTCAGCATTAATTGTTTCATGTTGGACTCATTATGATAAAATTGTCAAGAATGAACATTGGGGATATCCTGAGGTTTAAATAATTAATAATTATAATTACAATTTATTTTTATAAATTAATTATTAAATTATTTTTTATAAATTATTTTTTCATAATTTATTTCATAAATTAATTATAATTTAGGAATGGTTTCCTAGTGTTAGTGCATCAATTGGAGATTGGTATCCTGCTCGATCTATTTTTCAAATTTTTATAGCCTGTACATCAGGTAAATTTTTCATAATTTTTAATAATAATTTTTAATAAATTTATTTTTCATTTATTTAATTATTTTCATAAATAATTTTAAATTAAATAATAAAAAAATTTTTCATTAATAATTTAGGCCCACGATTCATAATGATATTTTTATTTTATCTTATTACCAATAAACCTGAAAATTTATATCCCAAAATTCACGCAATTATTGGAATTATACGTACATTATCAGTTGGTGGATGGGTTTACATAACTTCAACCGATGATCATTTTATACATGATGTGGCGATGATATTATATTTGGTCACCACTTTACCTTGGATGTTAGGATCCATATCAATCAGTCCAGATAATAATATGACATTAAAATGGAGAAAGAGAGTTATGTTTATATTTTTTGGTTCACTTGTACCAATGATTTATTATTTTGTACAGCATAAAGTTCATCATGTGGCTGGAGGTAAATTTCCCAATTTCTTAATTAACATAATTAATATGATCAAATATTTTTTTAATATTATTTTTTTATTTATTTTTTTAATTAATTCATTAATTAATTATTTAATATTTATTTTAATTAATTTATTAGCTTACACAACTTATTCATTTTTTGAATGGTCCTTAATTTTTTACGACATCGCTTTTGATTTCTTTACTTGTTATGATTTGGGTGATTTAGAATTACATATAGTTAATATTAAAAGTCAAGGGGAGGAAAGGTAAATTAGTAATAATATTTATTATTTATTATCAATAGAAATTTTATATTGTTATTTATTGTATTCCATTGCAAATCTCAAATATCATCACAAGAATTATCCCTGTAAATCCAATTAATAAAACTGAAAAACTTAGGTAAATTTTTAATTATTATATTATTTATATTATATTAAATATTATATTATATATTATATATTATTGTTATTAAATATTATATATATTATTATTATTAAATATTAAATATATTATTATTATTAAATATTAAATATTATTATTAATCATTATATATTATTACTATTATATATTATATCATATTATATAATATTATTAAATAATATTATAGCGGCATGATGTTCAATTACGGATATTGGATTAATATCTTGAATTACGTAGCCGAAACTTATCTAGGTAATAATTAATAATGAACAATGAATCTTTCTTTTTTGATATTTAAAATATATATAGTATTCTAATTTGATAATTTGGATAATATAAATATTTAATTAGCATTTGTCTATTGGTCAACATTGACATCGCTCGCTTTAACAATTTGGTATTTTCCACTTTGGAGTATGGGAATATCAGGATATGAAGCATTTCTACTTGTAACTTGTTCCCCATTTTTACTTGGTATCAAAAAGATACGTGAAACAGTTTCTTCATTTCCTGGAATATTTCATTTATTATCCCTTCTCGGCGTAGCTTCTTATATGTTCGTTGATCCAGTACCAAGACTTATTACAATTTCTTTTGGAATTGCGACTTCGAATTTACTTTGGACTTCTATTTGGTTAAAGAGTCGTAATAATCAAATTCAATTAGAACGTATTTCTCTAATCTGGGGATTAGGTTTAATCATGAGTAATGTGATTAAGATGGCTTGGTGGACAAATAACCCCATATGGCCAATAATGCATAAAGAAAATGGTGGACGTAATGAAGTTGGATTATTATTAGGAATAATTTCTTCATTAATAATTATATTACTTAATTTATATAATTCACCTAATTTACCTAATTCACCTAATTCACCCAAATCGTCCGAATCGTCCAATTCGCCTAATTTACTTAACGATAGATTTAATAAGAAAGCTACAGGATCCTGGGTTTCAGCAGCTGTTGGTTTAGGTTCTCTCATGTTTGCACTTCATTCTTTACTCACTGATACTACAATAATTTCTCGTTGGGTTTATAGTGGATATCCTAATACTGGACCTCAACCTATATTATCGGGAATTTTAATTATTACGACAATGTCATTAGGATTAATTATTTCAACTTATCGTAAAATAGTTATTAGCTTTCCTTGGTATGTTATTGGTTGTGTATCATGTGCTTGCTTATATTATTATCCAACTTGGAAAGGTTATTTTGGTGGATTATTACTTAGTATATATTTAATGTCATTAATACCAACATTTATTCGTAACGTTGTACAATATCCACCCGGGAAAACTTTATTCACGACCATGATGACTTATAATATTTTTTGTTTGGCGCATGTTTGGGTTGTAGCTTATGCTTTTGTTCCGGCTGGAGAATATATGAGAGAACATACTGATTATGTATTATTTACGATGATGGCTTTAATCGGTTTGGGAATTAGAAATGCCGCAAATCATAGATTAATATTTAAAATTATAAATTCAAATCAATCAAATCAATCAAATGGATCGAATGGATCGAATAACAATAACAATAATAATAATTATAGTAATTATAATCATATTAATAATAATCATCGAAATTTAACAAAATTTGGATTAGGATTAATGATTTTAATGACATTGAGTGTTACATATTCACGTTATCCAACTGAATTACCAATATCTTATCATCCCGAACAAAAATTAATTACGGCTGGTATATGGACAATTCATTTCGCTTTAGATAATGATATGTGGGCAAGTGAATTTAGAATGAGAGATTTAATTAAAGATTTAGAAATTGATGTAATTGGTAAGTTATTTATTATATCATATTATTTATATTAATATTTATATCTTATTATTATTTTATATCTTATTATTTATATTTATTATCTTATATCATAATAATAATATCATTGACATCGTAATAATTATTAGGTCTCTTGGAATCAGATCTTGGTCGTATTATAATGGGAAATCGAGATTTTACCCAATTTTTAGCAGAAGATCTTAAGATGTATTCGGATTATGGACCAGGACCTTCAAAACATACTTGGGGTTGCGCAATGCTTTCGAAATTTCCCATCATTAATTCAACTCATCATTTACTTCCATCTCCCGTAGGTGAACTTGCTTGTGCAATTCATGCCACTCTAGATGTTTATGGAAAAGAAGTAGATGTTATAGTTAGTCATAATGGTCAAGAAGAAGATGAGGAAGATCGTAAATTACAAACAACCGAATTGGCCAAAATCATGAGATCAAGTAATAATCCTATAATCTTTTTAGGTTACGTGGTAACCAAACCACATGAAGGAAATTATTTCACATTAATGAATGATGGAAATGTTAATGATATAGATAATACTGATAATGATAGATGGTGTGAATATATTGCTTATAGAGGAATTAAAAAGGTTGGTTATGCTCGAGTTAGTCATGGTGGAATAACTGATACCGAATTACAAGTTGGAAAATTTCAAATTTTAAATAATAATAATGATAATAATAATAATAATAATGATAATGATGATAATAATAATAATAATAATAGATTAAATTGGAAAGATAATAATTATAATCTTATATTAGAAAATGATGTAGATCCTCAATTAAGATTTCCTTCAAAATTCCATGGTGAAGGAATTCGTGGACATAAATATCATGTATTCAATGAACCACGATATTATAGTGATTCAAATAATTAATCATTACAATTATTAATATAGAATCCATTGTAATTGTAATTAGATAATTAATATTTTAAAATTTTTAAAGAATAAAAATTATTTATTTTATATTATTTTATATTATTTTATTCTTCAATTTTATTATAATAGTTGAATCCACCACAAATAATTACACGATAAAAATTAAATTAGTATGACTGTAAATTAGTAGATCATGTAGCGCAGTAAATCAAAGGACGAGCTCTCTTGACCTTGAGAGCGGGACAGGTCTAAAGATCTAAAGTAATCATTATAATATATATCTTCTTATACTTATCCTTATAATTCCTTAATACTTGCCCTGTATTTCTTTGGGTCCGAATTGGGTACCTATTGGGTACCCGATAACCGTGTTGGTTTGCTAAATATCGGGGTACCCGATAAGTAGATAATATAAAATTTTAAATTAACTATTATCGAAGCTACATATAAAACTTTTTGATTTTATAATTAAATTGTCAGTATGTTACTAAGTAAACTTATAGACAATAAATATTTGCATCGACTTTAGAAATATTAGCTCTATATTATTAAAATTGAGAGAATTATTGATGTTTAAATTCGTACAGCCGTTCAAAATTTGATCACTTATAATTCTCTTAATTTTAAAGAACTAGGTCTAAAATTTCTACAGTTTATGCACATTTTTATTGTCTATGAGTCTACTTAGTAGCGTTTTTATGATTAGATTATATAATTAAAAACATTTTATGTAGCTGCAATTGTAAATTATTTCCGATTTTATATTTTGATAAATTATATCAATGAGATAATCTTATATTTTTATAAAATAGGAACTAATTGTTATCGTAGCTACATATGAAAGTCTTTGATTATATAATCTAATCATAAAAACACTAGTAAGTAGACTAATGATAATAAAATATTCATCGACTGTAGAAATATTAGATCTAATTCTTTAAAATTAAGAGAATTATAAGTGATCAAATTTTGAACGGCTGTACGAATTTAAACATCAATAATTCTCTCAATTTTAATAAGATAGAGCTAATATTTCTAAAGTCAATGCAAATATTTATTGTCTATAAGTTTACTTAGTAACATACTGACAATTTAATTATAAAAATAAAATATTTTATATGTAGCTACAATAATAGTTAATTTAAAATTTAATATTACCTACTTATCGGATACCCAAAAGGTACCCGATATTCAGCAAAACAGTTATCGGGTACCCGATTCGGACTCTGTGGTAACTGTTGATAAAATAAATAATGATGTACATAACTTTGCTTATGGCTCAGATACCACTTCTGACTCTAATACAACCCCTGATTTGAACACTTCTGATTCAGATACTTATTTGATCAGTTCAGGGCCAGAAGTTATATATGTGTATAAGACTCCATTATAAAAAATGTCCCACTAAGCAAAGATATCGCAAAATAAAAAGAAAAATTAATTATCGAGTTTGATGTGTCTCTCCACTATTAATCTGCATATATAACTAAACTTGTCATTGATACTACCTTTTGGGAGAGCAATAGTATTTTTAAAGAAGAAAGTACTATGGTTTAGTTGGTAGTGATCAAGGGATATGAGATATAAGGTGAAAAGATGTGTAATATTATAGGATTTATGCTAAATATCAAAGAAAAAAGAAAGAAAGTAATAGTAGGTATAAGATTTACAAGGGAGAAGTAAGATCACAGGATTTCAACAGGAGTTTGTATATAGGACAAAATGAATTAATTATATAATCACAAGATCGATCAGTTACACAATATCTTAAACAGATCAAAATAAATTCAGATCAATTTATAGATCACTAATTTCTAAGAAAAGATAGTTTTTATTCAAGATCAAATAAAAGATAAAAGATGTAATGTTAATTTTTTTTATTAATAGAATTCAATCTACAATTTAAGGAAAGGAGAAAATAAAATCTTAAGGGTTTTGAAGATTAAAGGATGAATTAATTAATGGAATATTAAAAGGATTATCAAACTAAACACTCATTAAGTTCGTACTATCATAAAATTCTATCTATAACTGTTTTTTCTTCACTCTCTTCACTCTCTATTTTCTCTTGAAAACAAAAATCAAAGTCTAATTATACATTTTGATGAATCTACTCTAATAATATAAAAATTAATTAATCAAAGAATAACATTAAAGAAAACATAAATTATTCCTTTCCCATACAAAGCATAATTGATTAAATGTTAGTTAATCTAGCAGATCGTCAGCCTTAAATCGTCTGCGCAACCTTAACCAATAATAATTTCGATAATCGCACGTGACACGTGATCGTGATCGACACATAACGAGAAACTCAATATAATGAATATTATTAAATAAATGAATAATAAAGAAAAAGAAAGAAAAGAAATAAGAGAAGGAAAATTAAAGGAAGCAATAAATAATAGATATAGGAATATAAATAAGATAGAATATTTGTAAAATAATAATAATTAAAAAAAAAAAAAATAAAAGTAAAGAAATTAAATAAAAAAAAAAATAGTAACAGTGTGTGCCTGCACATATGTGCTTGGTATTTCGATTAAATATTTTATTTTTATGAATATTTTTTTATTTTTATGAATATATTTTCAAACAAGATGACATTAAAAAAATGTATATAATATTTTAATCACACATAGAATGTATATACTATAAAATAATTATCATGTATACATATAATCCTCTCAAGTGTCCAGAAATAATATCAGTTATAGTTAGATACCTTGAGGAACCTGATTTATGGAATTGTCTTAATATTAGCGAAACTAGCACGGGCTAACCAGATTTGGTATAATTCCATACGTTATGAGGTATTTAGAAGACTAGATATGTATAGAGCTGAATATAAATGATTAGAAGAGGAAATAGAAAAGAAAAAAGGTTACGTCAATAAACATGCGTTACTACTCAAAAGAGACAGAATATATAATTATATACGTTGGTTTGAGTTCCATCAATTTAATTTTTGTAGATTATTCGAATGTAACCATGTATAAAATCACTTGTTGGTCGGACCATGTGGAATGCAATAATAATCCTAGGGCGATTGATGATCGTGCACGGGCTGATGGCAAACAGTAAATGAAGAAAAATCGGCGGAATATAAACTGTTTTGGTTTAATTGATACTCATGATGTAATATAAGAAAATTATATAATGAATTAAGTTTTGGATAGTTCCGGTTATTCAACAATAAATAAAGTTTTGGATAGTTCCGGCTATTCAATAATAAATGCTATAAAGTTAAACATCAAAATTTTTATTTTTAGATTTTGAAAACGTATATTTCTAGCAGATTCCACATCCTTCTTGTGATAAGTGGCCCTTATAAAAGATACGAATTTTTTCTATCATATTGGCCCTCTCCTACAAAACCAAAATAAATAAAGCATCACGATATATTAATAAAAGTTTACAAAAGCAAATTCATCAAAATAAAATTACTTAGCTTTAATAGCAGAGCTAGTGTCAGATACACATAAAAAACCCCACGATTAATTTTCTAATCAAATTTTTCTCGCATAGATGTATCCATATAACATCCCAGAAAATATGCCTTTTATGACTTTAACCGCTTCTCTATTTTTTGCCGTTGTAAAGATGTTCCCAGAAAATGTATGGGCTCATCACCATGTGGTCCTTTTTGTACAATTCTAGACAGATCAACTCTTCTTTTACTGAAAAGATCGGTAAAATCAGAATTGAAATCAATAATGATCTTACTTCAAAAATAAGTAATAGGATCCAATTTCAATATATTCATCGTCATCATGATCTAATTTGTATAAAGGACATAATGTATCATCAGTAATCCGTAATAATCTACATTTTTCACTATTACCATCTTTATATAAATTAGGATATTTTTCGAGTGTTTTATTACAGAAATGGGTTGGATTGGAGTACTTATCTTGGTCTCCAGTAAAGATTTATCTTTCTCACCTAAAAATTCGTCTTCATCATCATCCTTATAACTAACAGAGGATTCCGAGTTATAATCTGAAAAGTTATTAATTACAGTTATGGTTTCTGAAAATTCGTTATTTCATTTACTACATCTTCCAAATTAGAGGTATGATATGATTGGATAGAGAAAATGGTTGGGATGCTTACCTCTGTTTCCAGTAAAGTTTCTGGTAATTGTTTTGAATCTTGTGATGGTTCAGTCACGTGTGCGTTACAATTTGTAACGCGATCATTTCTTGATATTTAACGGAGGAATCATCTACATTAGAATTTTTAGGAAAACAGTTTATAATATCTTGAATCTGATTGCCAGTTAGACTAGTAGACTTAAATTACACTTGCACTACATGTTATTGCTTGAACTTTTTCTACTCCTATTCCATATAATTTTTTTATGCTCTGAATGTTTTCTGCAAGTTTATATCAGTGATATCCTGGAGAAATGTTTTAATCTCATCGTATACCAATGTTCTTGCTGATTCATCAATTTTATTTACACGTTTAATGTCTTCGATCCGTATATACTTTATAGTAACAATACCAACATAGAATCTCTTTTTGTCTAACTTTTATTGTTAGAATAAATAAATCGGCCATATTTTTCACTGTAATTTTGCTAGAACTTGTAATAATTACTTCTAACAAGAATTCAGGAATTTGTATATCAAATACATTATTAATTTTATCATTATTTGCTTTGAATACAGATAAATCATGACTTAAGCCTCGCTCTACTCTTTTATTGTATGGAATTTTTATTTCGGAAGAAATGATGCTTTGTGCTTGATCGGTAGGCCTTGGTTCTAATTGGATTGTATTATGGTCATGGATAATTTTGATCGTGGGATTCATTTCAGGAGAAATATCATTTTGTATATTAGAAGAGGAAGATATTTTTTGCATCGATTGTTGATATGTGCAAATCTTCTTTTCCTTATTTCTTTCTCTTGCCATATTACTGACCCTTTCATTATCCCATAATTCTAAAAATTCATTAATTTCCTTCTCTTCCGATGATATAATTTTATAGGAACAAGAGACGTGGAGCATCGGTTATCCTTTTCCTGGCATATATGTATCAGAATCAGATGTCTTATCGGAACTATTTTCTATCCGTTCAGGAGTATCATCAAAATTCGTTTCATAAGGAGCACTCTTAACCGAAGATTGTTTGATTTCCTTGATATCATCATTTAGTTTAGCAATAAGACCAGTCTTTTCTTTATCATTCCGCTCCAATTTCATGAATCTGTTCAAATTCTCTTCCATAGCTTGTTTTGACTTTGTATTTTCGGCCTTAACCTTGGTGTTCTCAGCTTTAACCACTGCATTCTCCTTTCTAAGCACAGTGATCTCAACTAAGAGCTTAAAATTCAATTCTTTCAGTGCGTTTGACATTGTTTTATATAGAAAACAGATATGTTCAAAAGTTAGTCAAATAAAAAATACTGATATGTAAAATCTCGTTAACGCGCCTTTGCTTTATTGATTGCAATAAAAATCAAACGAATAAAAAAAATCTATCTATTATTTCTATACTATTATCTATACTATAAATTTTTCATTTATCTCAAAATTAACTTTAATCCAGCCTCATTTATTATCAATTTTTCTGAATAGAATAAAAATGGTTATCAGTTATACCTATACAAAACGTGCAGTGTCAAATATGAATTAATAATATTAACCTTAGCGAAAATCCACTTTAAGTTTATGTTGCCTGCCTTATGAGATGTTAATAGATTTCTCGGAAATCTGTATAAAAAAATAGTCATTAGTTTGCAAGCCTAGAAGTCGATTAATTTAAATGCACTGTCACAATCAAAATATTCAAACCTTAAATACGTATCTGGAACTTTTGCCAAAAATAAAATTATTCTTATTACAGGATCTGATCGAATCCAATATACAAACATTATCTTACCAATTGGAGAAATCTTTGATAGGACCATTTCTGAGAAAACTTTTCTCATGAAATGCATTAAGAAAATTTTATAACAGTTGCAAAAGTGGTATGGTACAGTTGATGATATCCATTTGTGCCACATTATGTAATTTTTACAATTGTTTAGATCTTGATCTTTTTACGCGTGTTCTTTACGTATAACGAAAAATATATACACGAACACTTTGGACGAAGTTATACTGAATGGAAAATTAAAAATTTCTTAGAAGAAAGCGTCGAAGAACCATCTCAACTAAAGATTGGTTTGTATCTAAAAAGCCTCGAGAACATTGAAGACTCTAAACAAGGAAAAACGAGAAGGCAAGAAAGTATTTTTTTTTTGTAAATAAGATTAAGTGGCGTGACATGAATCTTTACGCTTCTTGTCATTTAAGTCTTTACGTCGAGCCACTAAACCAGTGTTAGGACGCAGGCAATCTTTACGTTTGCCTGATGTTCAAGTCTTTACGTCGACCTGGCATTGGACCCATCTGATATCGGCAATCTTTACGTTTGGCAGTTGTTCGGATGGGATGAAAAATCAGATTAGTTTGAGAATAATGCTAATTGTACGAATTTTCAATTTCTTTATTGAAGGGTTCACGACCAGATCACAAGGTGACAAAGATGTGGAAACAGAATCGTGCGAATAAGAATATGCATATCAATCAGCCCTCGCTTATTGGACGGAAATATTCATAAAATAGTGGGAACTTGGTATCAAAAGTCATGGGGCAAATAAAAAAATCACAAATTAAAATGCTAATTGTGACACAAGAGGGTGATCTAAATTGCACAAACTTTTTTTCATTAGATTCTCTTAAACCTGGAATGCCTATACACATGAAAAAAATTGAAAAAATAATAATTAAAGTTTATGGTTGGTCTTCCGTACATTAAATAGATCGAAAAAAATAATAATTATTTTTTTTTTTAAAAAAAAATCGTATATTTTACTTTTAGTTTTTTTTTCATTCAGAACATTGGAGAACACATAACATGAAAACTGAAATAATCAATAAAATAATCAATAATAAATATTTGATTAATAAAAATAAATAATTATTAAATAACTGTATACATTACTATGTAATTTTTAATGGAAGATTTCATTAAAAAAAACTATTAAATTATATTACCTTCATGTCTATGGAGTTCAATGATTACTTTAGAACCATCTAAAGATTTTTTTAAATGAATCATATCATGTGTTTACGTATCTCTTCACAAAAATAAAACTTTTTAAAAAGTTCACTATTAATTTACAACCTGTTGTTTCACGCTGACCTCCTCTAGTTCCACCATGATTTCTCCTAATAAAATTTTATAACAATAATTATACTTACTGAATGGCATTATTATTGTTATTATTATTTAATTTATCAGATTTTCTAAATTAAAACATTGTAAAGTTTATGCGGTCAGTATAATAAGTTCATGTTATTGTATTAAGTATTGTGTATTGTGCATAGTATTATTGGTTAATTATTAATTAATTATTTAAAAATAAAATAACAATTAAATTGAAAAATTATAAAAATCTTTATGAATCAACTTGGACGAATTTTTTGTAAAGAATTAAAAGATTGTTGCCATTAATACAATTAATAAATTCCATTCTCAAAATACTCATGATATTCACAATATTGAAATTTATTCTTCAAAAGAAGATATTTGCAGTTAAAAATCTTATAATAATAATAATTAATCTTTGAATATTCAAATTCAAAAAATTTTTGACATTATCAATTGACTTATAATCTTTTTGATCTTAAATTATTTTTATTATGACTATTTCAAGTTTTTGTTATATTCATAAAGAAAGGTCATAAATAAAAATACAAAGTTGAAAAATACAAACCAATCCTTACCCTTGTTACAAAGAATCATCACAACTTCTATCATTTCTTTTATTAAAAATTTCACCACCACAAAAAGAACCTTGGAGAAATAATAAAAGTACAAAGTTGAAGAATACAAACCAATCCTTACCCTTGTCACAAAGAATCACCACAACTTCTATCACTTCTTTTATCAAAAATTTCATTAACACAAAAAAGAACCTTGGAGAAATAATAAAAGTACAAGTTGAAAAATACAAACCAATCCTTACCCTTGATACAAAGAAGCATCAACTTCCATCACTTTTTTTATCAGAAATTTCACTACCACAAAAAAGAATCCCGGAGAAATAATAAAATAACAATAAATAAACACACTATTCTATTTCTCACTTCATAAATACAAATATTTTTCATTAAATATTTTTTATTTTAATAACCATTTTAATAAATCAATAATATATTTTCTAATAAAAATAAAAATAAAAATAAAAAATAAAA